ATGCATATTGGAAATGTCTTTGAAATCCTTTTCCTGAATGGAAGGTGCCATGGCTTGTGTTTTATGGCTTTCTAATGTTAGACCGTAATCTCATTTAGCATTTTCCCAAAGTGAAAATGTTGCATTAGGGCAGCATAACAAGCATTGCAGATCAATACGAGGCAGAGCTTTGCCCTATAGATTAATCCAAGAAAAATGTGCCAGAGTCTCCTCCAGGAACTGGGGAACAGTTATGTTGATCCTCCACTCCTTCCCCGCTTTCTGCCATCTGCTCACCAATACAGGTTGAAAAGTATACAAAAAAATTGTCAGATATCTTAACGCGCGTGTGTGTGTGTGTGTGCACACACACACACACACACACACACACACGCTCACACTCCAGACCACTGGATAGGAAGTCAAGGGCCCTGGGAGTGAGTAGCATTGATTTGTGGTAAAAGTATGTTTTGACACATTTCAAAAGATAAATAACTCATGGACTTTAACTTGCATGATAAATAGCTCAACGCAGGGTAAATGCTTATATACAACTTAAATGACCTCTTTCTAGGGAGTTCATAGCATTAGATGAGTCCCACTGTGAATCGTCCTTTAAAAGCAAAAAGCCCATCTTCTGTCTGATGTGCAGAGTGTGGAAGCTCATTCTTCACAGTTTTTTCTTCTAGGTAACAGGGAAGGGCTATATATCTGGTCAGAGTTGTTCTCACCTCCTCTCCCCATTCCCCTTTTAAAGCTAAGATATGTTGGGCAGAGGATGTTTCTCAACACTAGGAGCATAAATGTGTTTATACTCCTGCTTCCCTGAGAACTAACGTGGGCATTAGCCGTGTGTGTGCGAGGTTGGGCTGACCTCTTCGAAGTCATATTTCACTCAGCCTTTACCCAGATGTGCGTCTTGCTGAAGTCTGGGCCTCCGCTCTTGGAAGCACAGCTGACTCCTTTTAGATGCTGATGCTCACGGCAGGGGATTAAAGAAATCCATGTCCAGAAAAATCCACAGACATCTGAACTTTGAAATCTTAAAGAGAATTGAAACTCTTGGGATTGGATTTCAGTTCTGTTCTTAGATATTTGGCAGAGCAGCGAGGGAATGAATAAAAAAGTAAAAGCAAAGCTATGTAAAATTTGTGGGATTATTTTTCCCCTGTGCGTCTACTTTCCTTAGAGGGTAGTAAGAAGTAAATTCCCTCGGGGACCAGTAACGTGGTTTGCATTTCAGTTTTCTATTGTAGCAAAATATATATTGGCTTAGTGTGTTGGATAAAAGTAATGAGGAGACAAATCGTCACCCAGGGGTTTCCTTATTGATGGGGTATAGTCCTCCTGTGTTCTCTAGGGGTTTTTTAGAATCCATTAAATTTAAAATAATGCTATTTCAAGATTACTATGGCAATGACAAAATTTAAATTTCAAAGAAAGAACTGGTATGAGAGACTGGAAGCCTTTTGTATTAAGTGAAACTAATTTGAAAAAAATATATGAATTCCTAGATTAAAAGTGTTAATAGTATGTGTTTTCTGTGTGTTTAGTTCTTATAATCAAAGTTTCTCTACCATCTTAAGACTATTTCATTTTGGTTTGTATAATTCATTTGATTTATTTTGTTATCATTTCTCAAGTCTATATGATAAACTTTTTTGGAAGCACTTAAGCTAGGTACTGCATATTCACTGAAAGCAATCTAACTAAAATTTGAGATTCGTAAGTATATATAATTAGTAAAATGTGAGCCCAGGAATTAAAAATTATTTTTTCTCTCCACCCATTTGTATTCTCAGCAACTAATTGCATGACTTCTCTAAGAGGTATCCTGTTCAGTAGCTGAGGTCACAAAGAAAATAAGACGGTTCTCCTTGGAATGTGCATCCTAGTAAACGTAGGCTAGTAGGTGCGCATAGTGTGCGTAGACTATAGTCAGCATTAGGTGCCCGGTGAAAGACCGAAAGACGTTAATACAAGGTCAGCGGGGGTCACCATAGAGAGGGGTAGACTCTACCATGATGGGAGAGGGAGTGAAAGCTGTATAGAGACGGTTACACTTAAAAGACGCGTAGGTATTTTCCACACGTATGGATGGGAGTTTGGGTGCAGAGCATTCCCGAAATCAAGAACCGCCTGAGCTAAGATGTGAAGGGACCGTGAGAACCAAACCCGGAAATGGTTTGGTCAGGCTGCAGCACGTGGGGAATGAAGGCTAAAGAGTCGGCAGGAACCCAATGAAGACCTGCCGGTTGACCTTGCATTTTATTTAGAAAGCTGGAGGGAGAGAGGCTGTCTCAGATTTATGTATTAGAACCATCTGGAAAGCAGGAGCTGTAGGTGAAAGCTGAGAGACAGAGAGTGCAGTTGGGAGGTCACAGAATCCAGGATAGAAGTGTGAGGACAGTGTGTATGGGGACAGAAACAAGAATGTAGGGGGTCGAACTTTATGACCCGGTGGGCATTGGGGTGGAAGAGGGAAGGTATGGCGCCCGGGCTTCTGGTCTGGCTGGCTGGGCCCAAGAGTACGTGCGCCATTTGCCTGGTCCGGGCTTCGGTCTGGCGGGAAGGTTTTAGTGTCCAGAGAGGCTGTGGCTGTGTCAGCTAATGGAACTAATTTCAGAGAAATTGTTTACCTGTGTATCTTTCAAGGTTGAAGAAAATGATTTCTCTTGAACTTTGTTTTCTGCATTTGAAACATTTATCTTATTTAATGTCTTATACATTCTTTGGCCTCAACCTTTACTCTGACTGAAGACCATCTGCTCAGCAATCCCTGTTTTTGTTTGCAGGCGGTATGAGGTTCACCCGGTCTGTGCGGATCTGCAGGCCAAGATTCTCCAGTGCTACCGCCAGAACACCCAGCAGACCCTCCGCTGCTCTGCGCTGGCCAGCCAGTACATGCGCTGTGTCAATCAGGCCAAACAGGTGGGTGTGCAGCCGCTCCCAGCACCAGTGGAAGCGTGCCCAGTGTCATGGACAGTGGTAAAGGTGTCACGGGCTAATGTGTGTGAAAAAGCTTTATAAACCAAACTAGTCGTCATCATCAAGAGTTGCCGTGACAAGTTGGTTAGGCTGTAATCAACTTCCATCCAGATGGTTGTAAGAAGAGCCTGTATTCGCCTTGTGCTCAACTCCTTACTTTCAGAAAGGAAAAAAAAAAAGATTTTTACTACAATAATACTTTTCCCAGTTGTTCTGAACTTTTGTCCTCTATAATAATTGTGTCTTCAAGGTCATTGCTCCCTATTTCTGGGCCAATACTCAAAGCCAGCAATGAGGAATGATACAAGTTCAGGGGCCAGCAGCTTTGGGTCTATAAAGCAGCAAGTAGTCATGTGGAGAGCTTGGTTTAAAACAAACAAACAAAAAACTAAAACAAAAACTTACCATTCAATCTTCTACCAGTTGGTAGAGTCTACTCACTTGGCCAGGGAAAGTGAGGCCAGAAGCAGGATTTAGGAAATATTTCCATCACTTTTTATACCAGAGCTGCATTCTTCCCTGGACCCTTCATTATCAGAATAAGGTGATGTTCACAGGACATGTGTTTTCTCTCATTTATGTACTTTAGAAAGCTCATGGTGAACTCGGAAGCCAATTATCAATTCTGGCCGGTCACATAATTGCCTGTCATTTAACTGATTTAACAGTTGTATGTAGGCTGTTCTGAGACCGAAATTGTTGGAAACCTTGATTCTTTCTGCTGCTAACCTCCCCGGAGTTGACCTTCTAGCCCAACTAAATCTGGTGCTTGAGCTACACAGCATGCCTTTCTGCAGTCTGATTTGCCGTAGTTGTAATAATACCACTTAGCATAAATTTCTAACATTCCTTCTGATGGGAGGATTGGTATTCCCTGCATAGCTGGGCAATAACGGCAATGCCAGTGGTCCTCCTTAGCCACGGTTTTGCTTGCCACAGTTTCAGTCACCCGCGGTCAGCCGCGGTCTGAAAATATTACATGCAAAATTCCAGAAGGGAACGACAATTCTTAAGTTTTAAATTGCACTGTTCTGAGTAATGTGATGAAACTTTGGCCATCCCACTCCATTCTTCCTGAGATGGGAATCATTCCTTTGTCCAATGCATTCACACTGTACATACAGTACAATAAGATGTTTTGAGAGAGAAATATAGGGAGACCACATTCACATACCTTTTATTACAGTAAATTGCTATAATTGTTTAATTTTATTAGTTATTACTCACTGTGTCTAATTTATAAATTAAATGTTCTCATAGGTATGTATGTGTGTATAGGAAGAAACTATAGTATATCTGTGGTCTGTGCATCCACTGGAAGTACTGGAACATATTGCAGATAAGGGAGGACTACTGTTACCAAGATGTATTAAAAGCCTATGTTGTCTTTGAAAGCCTGATGGCTTGAGGCTTTTTTCTATTTCTTGCTCGTAGTGACACTTGTATAGCTCTTAATAGTACGCCCGGGATTTTTTTCTTTAAAGGTCTTCAGTAGAAATAATTTTGATGTTGTTGTTATACATTGTATTTGCAAAAGCAGCTTCTGATAGGCTCTTAATAAGCCCCGCATTCAGTATTAATACCCACGGAGCATTTGGGACCTGCAAGTTGGCGCATGGGCTTTTCTGACCTGATGTCAGTGCTGTATGGAGGTGGAGGTGGCAGCCGGGCTAGGAATGGCCGTGATAAAGTGAATGTTTTGGGGCTGGTGTCTAACGCAGGTGCCCATCTCCCCAGCGTGACCTGTAGTATCACTAGTGGCAGCTGCAAAAGCGTCTGGGCTATTCACTCCATCCTGCCTGTCTGATGTGTTGAATCATCCTCACATAGCCCCATGAGATCGATGACATACATCTATAGAATAAAACAAAGTTAACTTGCGACACAGATAGGCCATGTGGGACAATTGAGAGTTCAAGTGTGCAGATCCGAGTTCATATCCGAGCTGTGTCTCTTACTAGCTCTCTGACTTTGGGCCTTGATTTTTCTCGTATGTGAATTGGGGCAATGTTATCTCCAGTGTTGTTGTGAGGATTACATTTATATACAGTATTCATAAATCTTATTGTTTCCTTTTCTCCTCAGTTGTATATTTCATGCTGAAACCAACTGAATGGATTAGACAAAAGCATCAGAATAATAGTAGCGATTTCGAGACCCTCCTGTCCCCCTACCCAACCTGCAATATGACTTAACACTGTTTTCAGCAAACATCTTTCCAGCACCTATTGTTTTGACCACTCTTACTTTCAGGTATTAGGGAGTATAACACTGGTAATATTAAAAATATGTATGTCCACAAAACGTTTTTATCCTAAAATGGGCAACACTGAAATGGGCAAGAACCAAGAAACATTAATACCTTGTATTTCTTTCTATAGTACTTTAGATTTCAAGGTGATTTCGCATCCATTCTTTTACTTGTTTTTTGGTGTTTGTTTACCCTTACCCGAGGATATGTTTTACTGATTTCAGAGAGAGAGGAAGAGGGAGGTACGAGAGAAACATCGATCAGTTTCCTCCCGAATGAGCCCCCACCAGGGATCTAGCCCGCCACCCAGGCATGTGCCCTGACCGGGAATCAAACCTTTCGGTGCACGGGATGACGCGCTAACCAACCGAGCCACCCAGCCAAGGCCTCTTGCTTGTTTTTTATGACAACTTGAGATGTAAAGAGAGATGATTTTGTTCTCTTCATTTTACAGTTGAGAGAATTGAAACCCGGGGAAGTCATGATGTTAAATTTAACAACTAAAGCAAAATATACCTTGCCATCAAAACAAAAAATTTTAAAAAAGTGTTTGACTTTTGAGTTGGGTGCAGGAAGGTGCATCCATCATCCACCAATACAGATATAAGGCAATGAGGGAAAATGCGTACAATAATCATGACTTGAAGGGAAACACCGTGAAGATCAAATTAAGTAGTTTGTTCTAGAGGCTGAGGGTAACCAATGGGAAGTGGAATTGTGGAGGGGCAAGCACAGGGGTATCCTCACGGCCCCATTTTAAGTCCTCACCAGAATGGCCACAGGGAGTAATATTGGCACTTCGTATGCACTCTTCCTCTGATACCACCTTTCCTTTTTCTCCTTGTCGAGTTAGTGTGAGTGCTGACCCCAGCGCTCCCGCTGTTAGAAGAGTCTCTGACAGGACATCTGGTCCTGGTCACCTACTGCAGTTCCTGCCTGGGCCCCACCCCTTCTTATGTTTCCTTGTTACATCCAAAGAGCAAGCTAGACACGCCAGCATAGAAAGCACTGACCATGACAACAGCCCATTAGGTTGCCCTGTCCATTTCCGGTGTAGTGCAGTTTTCCCCTTGGAATAATTCCAACAGCCAAGTCCACTCCACTTTTAAATGACTCATAAGATGGGGCTTTCACTGGTGTCCTTGGGGCATTGTTCTGAGGCTAATAGACTTTAATGATAGGAAGATTTCCGGATAGTCCTCAGCCTTGCTTTTCTCCTGTCTTAGTCATCCACGGATTCACATCAGCCTTTTCTCAGCTGTTCTTGAACAGTTCCTCATGGCTTGACAGGAGACATTTAGACTGTTACTTCCAATATAATAAGTATGTGTCTTCAGGGAGGTAAAGAGATATTAAATTGCTATAATTATTATATCAAAGACTTAAAAGCTACTGGCCAGCTAGATGAGATACAACATTTAAAAATGTAGGGGGATGTCAATTGGTAGACTTCAGTGTCTTTTATTTCTCATATCTGCTTAGCCCCATAGCTTGTAAAAACTCCCCAAGATTGAACTACCTGTTCTTTACCGTTAAAACCCAATTCCCATTTAATCTTCATTCACCTACCTTACAGGAGACTGGAAGGGAGGGAGACGTGGGAAGCCGATAGTAATTGCCCACTAGTGGCCCAAATGTGCCCAGGTGCTGTTTATAAAAAGGGTGTGTGTGGAAAGGGCTTGCTCTCAGAAGATCTGCATTCCTGTGCTCTGTGGGACACCCCACTCACTGTCCCTCAATTTGCTTGCAGAATCCAGCTCCTGGGGATGGGGGTGGTAGTGATTCTAAGCATTCCAGCTCTGTCTCAGCCCTGCTGATACTGACAGAAACCTGCAGAGCCAGCTGGACTCCTGGGAGCAGTCTCTGGTTCACTGGAGGGTAGTTTGTGGGAAGTGCTGTAGCCAACACCAGCCTGGTCATGGCGACCCGGGCTTCAGTTGCTTCCTTGGGAAATTAAGGGCTGAACTAGGTGATGCGCGAGGGCCTTCCTCTGTTACCTAGGACGATTCTCCGTCCACCTGTGAGAGCAGGCGGCAGTGCACACAGGCACACCTGTTGGTGAGCACTTTGATGTGAGGAGCTGTGGCTCGTGGGTACCAGCAGCACCCCTGCTCTGGGAGCCTCCAGCCTGTTCGACTCTGCTGTCAGCCAGAAGCTTTCACTCCGGAAGCACAGCTGCATTTCCCATCGGTCTGCCTGTCGTCTGGCCTCCCACAGCTGCACCCTTTCCTGGGAAGTTGTACACCTGTCAGACCTGGGGAAGCAAGGTGGCAGAATGAACTTGGGAGGGGGTGAAAACAGTTTCCAAGTCTCTGCTAAGTCAGTGAAGAGAAAAATGGGAATCTCAGCGCTGCCTGGTAGAGTGTAGGCTTCCGGCTAATCAAGTGCATTCGGAAATGCAGGCGGAGTACCTGAGCCACCCCAGGCCCCTCTGGACTGCAGTGGCTTTCACCCTGTGTGCCACGGGTGGTGAGGGATTGTGAGGTCAGAGCAGAAGAGCCAAAGAAAGTCCAGGACAAGATGCAAGGGCCAGACCCAGGAGATGCCCAGAGGACAGAGGCAGATGCAGCCCGGAAGCAGGTGATGGAGCCAGGCAGGAGTCGATGAACTATGGCAGAGGTTGAATTCAACAAGTGGGCCCTAGGCAGGCAAGCAGCTGGCTGAAGAAGGAAGCCCTCCCGGGTGTGTCTCC